TGGAATAAGCATGTATGACAGAAGTGAAGTTGTCTACATTTGGAATACCTGCATCAATGTGCATCTTGCTGATGTTTCAACAGAAACAGTGACAGAATCAAAACATTCAAGGTGAAAAATAATACCAGTCAGTATAATAATACCAAACTACCAGAGCCCACCTTTTCTGAGTGTGTAATGGAGTCCCCTTCACTTCTTCAAAACCCTTTGAATTCAGCTGGATTAAAGCAGTGAACAAATGCTGTACAATGTGTTACCAGAATGATGACAACTTGTGACAAATGTAGTATAGGAGAAATGTATCTGAAATGCTCAGTAGCTTCTGCAGCATCTGGAATCCTGGTACAGCATAATAAAGCTGCTAATTAAGTAATTGTACAGGTTTTTTTTTCCTGCTTTTCTAATGGTCAGTATAATGAGTTCCTATAAAATGCAAGTGTAGAAAATGACACTTTCCACTTAATGTTAGCTCCCTCTTCCCTTTCTTTTCATCAGTGATGTTTCTTTTAGTGTGCACAATTAACAAAGCTTAATCCCCTTCTTTATGTCTGCCTTGTTTCACTTTTTCCTGTTTAACTTAATGCTTCTCTCAATTAAGCAATTGAAGATGAATTCTGCTCTCATCTAATACTAGCAAAATGGAGAGTATGGAGAATTCCAATGCCACGTAAACCTTAAGTACAGTCCCGATATCAAAAGGTATCTGTGCTTCTGCTGGCATTCAGCTAATAGTTTGCTGAGTGAAACTAAGAGGTGAAAGGCAGCTATCGAAGGATGCAGGGAGGATAAACCTGCCTTCACTCAGAGAGGTTGGCTGCTGACAGGGTAAGTGGCTGATGCTTTCTCTGCAGCATAACAGCACTCATGGGGCAGCTTTGTTATGAGAGAGGCTCCTATGGCCTCCTAGCTTAGGTAGCATTCTTAAGCACCAATGACACAGAGAGGAGTCTGTGGGAATAGAGAAAAGGAAATCTACAGAAAAGAGGCTAGACATCTGAGCATGGAGTCCATACTTGAATCTAACCAAATATTTTTCCTTTTCTTTCCCAAAAATGTGTCAGTTAGAGGGTGTAGTTATAGAAGCATGTTACTTACTGGCAAGGCTGATCTAAGGAGGCTGATGCATTCTCATTCCTGTAACTGTGCTGCCATATGCCAGCCTCTCAGCTCTGTCAGCAAAATGATGCTGCACACTGAGTGGTTTCTCCTGCCGAAGGACAGAGTGCTCTGACCACTCGTGCAACAGCTACGTGGCATGCTGAAGGCTTGACAGACCTTACTGGATAATATCATGAGGAACCAGCAGGTGATAATGCAGCGATATCCCTTTCAAAAAAGCTAAAAGCACCTCTCACAAGACTCCTAAAGAAGACTTTAGAATGACTTTTAGGTCATTGAGCTATGATTTCAACTTATAGCTGTGTTGTGCATGTCAAAAAGATCATTTCACTTCCCAAAATACATTCCAGGAGACTGCCCTGGAATGGATATGGTCTTCCCTACCATATATTCAGAAATGCAAAATAACACACATTTCTCCATTTCCTATCTTCCCAGTAAGATCTCCTATGATTTGTGCTTTCCTCTTCTCTTCCTCTTTTCAAGAGGTTGAAACTATGCTGCACTGTCTTCTGTAGATGTGAAGGAAAATTCAGATATATAGGCAATGCTCAGCAAATTTCAGATGTCCTATAGGAAGAGAGCCAGCCTGGTTGTCCTAAAATTCTAGATTCTGTGCAGGGTAGTCCTTTAAAACTTCAGTGTGCTTTTCATAGTTACAGTATTGATTGAAAGACAGCCATTTACTAATAAATATTCTAGTAGTTTAGAAGTGTAGGCCTTTGGGAGGGGGAGAAAACTGCAGATCATACCTTATGGAACTGTCATGGGATATGCAGAGTCTGATGGCCGCCTGGATAATGAGAGAGAGACTTGCATTTTAATTAGAGTAACAGTCTGCTCCTGAGTAAAAGAGAAAGCAGTTTGCCCTCAGGAAAGGTATGTGACAGAAGCCTGTGTTCTTTGAAAGCTACAGTAAGCAATGCCAGCAATATTCAGTATATAGGATCTAATGTTACTTGTCTGTGAAATCAAATTGAACCACTGGCTGCTAAGGGACTTATAACATTAGAAATGTTCCTAGCTGAAGTACTGCTTTATACACTCAAGTGCATGCACTAGATGCTTGTTACGGCTCTTTCACCACTATTGCTAGGCATCCTAGTAGGCAATTGTTAATTGCATTTGTTACAGGGCTTGTAGGCAATGAAGCATTAATTCTCCAGTATCATTTGCTTTACTAGCCACAAAACAAATGCTGAACTGGTCCCATTTCTAAGTTTGGTTACTCTACCCAAAGACATTCTCTTGAATTCAAGAATGTCTTTGAATTCAAGAGAATGTCTTAACTAACTTAAATCAAAAAACAAAACGAAACTCTCATCTCTTCCTCGCTACTAATATAGGATGGATAAGGCAAAGCATGCGTGTTTCTGAACCTTGTGTATACCTCCAACTCAAGATATTTATAGCCTGCCTTGAAATTTGACCTTTATTTCCAAGTCATTTGTGGCATGTGGTTGAGTCAGCAGAGAAATCAAAATGAATTGCAGCTGGATGAGAAGGGGGCTGGAATAAAGAGAATGAATGGTCATGCCCGCTGCTGTAGAAAGGAACTTTGTAAATTCCGAGGGCTGGCACTAAAATGTCAGAAGTTACAGATCATAGAAACTGACTGGAAAGCAGACTTTTGCTGGGCCTGTAGAGTTATTGTGTTAATGACATGAAGATGTGTTTTGAACTGTTGACACTTTATTAGTGATGTTAATTCTGCAAAGAGCTCATTCTTCACTGTTGATGTACGTTTGGCAGCCTTTCAAAGGTAATGTTTTAATTCACCACAGAGAAGGACATGATCTTGAGCTTGTTGAGACAAAGGCTGCAATAGAAAGACATGGAATTGATAAGATAAAAGGAGCAATTTCAGAAACGTACTTTTCCTTTGTTGCTGTTTTCAAGAAGGGTGATATTTCAGCCCTACATGAAGAACCTGTCTAAAGCCTAGGCGATACCTATCTGGTTACATTCAAAGCTTGTGATGCTTTTACATAAAACTTACTAGTCCTGTATCTGAAGAGAAGACCAGATCTACTTAATTCTGTAGGAAGCAAACACAGCTGCTGGACTCATCTGCCCAGGTGCAGCACATATTATGTTATTCTTCTTGTTGAGCATCTTCAATTTATCTTTTTAGGCAGAGAAAAAGAAAGGTTTATATTGAAAGGCATGTTTAAGCACTGGGGGTCTTACTTTCCTATTTGATACCATCACCAGGGAGCCTCCATTCGGTGTTCTTATTTCAAACACAGTGTTACTCCCAATACTGGAACCTGTAACCAGAGTGAAGTAGTTAAAGTGTCAGAAGCTGGCCTTCCACCAGAAAGATTTTATATTTCTTTTGGCTTCTTACTGCATTTTGGTACAGTCTGTTAAGATTGGAGTGAGTAGCAATAACAGTGGCATTGCAAACCATCAGATCAAACATCAGACTAATATTCTGCTTAGCAAAAAGAATATGAGGACTCACCCCTGTGGGGTGCAGAACTGAGGGATTATCTGCTCTGTTAAATCCTATCCCTTGGAATCAACTGACCGAACCAAGCTGCTCTTGAACACCGGATTCTACAAAACATCTCTCATAACCATTCAGCAGGTGCAAGGTCTGTAATTAAAGATGAAACACAACACAATGTACACTAGTTGAGAACCTGTTGAATTCCCTCTGCTTCTCTTTCCTTTTTGGCTCTTTAAGATGTGTCTTTTTTTTTTAATTTATTGTGTCTGGTTATGAATATCTTTTGCTGAAGCACCAGTGCCTGAAGTGGCAAGAGTGTATGTTGCATACTGAAAAACAATGTGAAAGGGACTAAGCTGAAGTATTTATAAATAAAATTATAATGCAAAATAATATACTCCATAAAACACTGAATGTAAACAGGGCAGTATTGGCCTTGGTCGAGAAGTCGTGTGTTTGAATTATGCTGCTTAATGTTTCTGCTGGATTTTCCATATCAGACATCTGTGTGGCTGCATGAGGCCAATCAAGCTGAGATTGTTATTCTAAGTGCAGGGTGAAATAACCAACTACAACCTGGATTATAAAATGTTGACATTAAAGGTCTGCTGCTCCTTGTAAAGAGTGTGTTTTTATAATTTAAAGAAATCTGATCTCCTGAAAGTATCCTGCTGTGCTTGCAGCTGACATCATATTAGTCTGAGTTTTAACAGATTCAGCAGGACTAGTATGATTAAAGCAACTTTCAGCTCCCTGTGTATTTGGAAAGGAGCTGTGGAAAAGACACTTGGAGTTAAAGATGACAGCTCCCAAGAGATCTTGACTTCATCAGCCTTATTAGAAGTTAAATAAATAACAAAACTCCAAGCTATAGCTGTAAAGGATCCAGAGTGCATTTGTGATTCCTTGGTTACCTGTGAAAAAATATTTCTTAGCTGTGTTAATTTAGGGTTAACGTGAAGGGTACGTGCCCAGGAGCAAGTTACCACAAAGTAAAGTAAAATTAAAGGTTGCATTTGCAGCCTCTAATTTAACATGCAGTAGCTGGCAGTGCATCTGCTCTTACCCAGCTGTAAATGCATGGTAGCAAACCCCAGTAACAAATTCATGGTGAGGCAGTACAAGAAGGCATTCTCCTTGCTTTGTAGTGATTAAATAAAGAGCAGACCTTCAACTCTGTAACTGCACTGTTGGCATTTATCGCCACACTCATTGAGAAGAGTAATGGAAGGCCTAGAAGGAAGCAAGTGCATGTAATTACCACATATGCAAACAGAACAATGGTATGCATCAGTGAGATAATTCTTATCTACAAAACACAGCAGGTAACTATACCTGTTGCACTCCATTTGTACAGAGAACGACAACTATAAGGTAGCAAGGTGTATTTCTGCACGTAGACCTCAAGTATTACTTTAAATCACAGGTATCCAAAACACTAACTTGCCTGGGCAGCACTGAGTGAAGAGGAATCGCCTTGGACTAAATGTAAATATATATGGCATCACTAATGTGTGTAAGTAACAAGACTTTTTCTATTTTTTCAAGTATTTTTAATTAAAGTGGGGAAAAAAAAGAGGGCAGTAAAACCATAAAACTAGCAAGTTGGACACGCATGCTTTAAGGCAGTTCTGGTTGTTGCAGTCGCTTAACAATATAATGATTAAATTTTGTGAGATGATTTCTGTATTTCTACTCCCATTTGAGCTGCTTATGTCCTCTTGATCGCTGCAGCTGCCATCACTGCTATTACATTTGGTCAGGAAGATCTTCTGGAAAACTACTCTTACCTCATGGTAACACTGGGTGTTTATCACCACTGTGAGGTGTCTGATCTTGCTTACTTTATTCATGAGAGTCCTTCTGTGCAGGCTGAAAATGTGAGTAAAGTTCTAACCTTGTACAGAGGTTGCTCTGAAAGTAATGCCTCCTATTTATTTCCACGGAAGCAACAACAGATGTAAAGAGCACAATAACACCATTTGATAGAGCACATTCCCAGCTACAAAGCTCTGTTTTTCAACACAGTCACCAAGACCAGCGATGAATTGCATGTTCCACCCACCGCCTCACTGTTCTCACATCCACTCTTTGGACCTCATAAATGTTCAGCAAACATTGGTGAATTTTAATGAGTGCCATTTTGTCCACACGGAGGAATTCTGTGACACACATATGCACTTCCATGTCTGATGTCCATTTGTCACACTACCCCTCTGCTGCCATCTGTCCCACAGCAACAATGTGTTACAGATACTAGCAACATCTAAGATGTTGGGCCAATTTCTTTTCTTAGAAAAGGAATAAAAAAACAACAAACACAGATTCTACTCACAGAAGTAAAAATAATACAATACAGCCAAAAAGAGACTATGGCCAAAGCATATCCACTATAAATCCTTAAAAATATATTAAATTTTCAACTAAAAATGGTTTAACTTTGCTTTAATTAAAGCCCAATAATAGTTACTCTAGACTTCACGTTTTCAGACACAGTTGGAGGACACGTGTTGCTTGTAAACATTTACAAGTGAAAGACTTGAATGTAAGTAGTCCAAAAGGTTCTTTGCATGGTTCTGGAGAACAGTGGGGAGGAATATGTCCAAAAGCAAGGCAAGTGGAAATGTTGAGATACATCTTCAGCACACAGCTTAGTCTGTACAAGCCTTGCAGTCATTAAATCTCCATCACTGCATTGTACAGACTGGAAGAGAGGACAGTATGGGCAGTGCAGCTCTAAGTCTTGGGCCACCTCCCCAGAAAAGCTGTGGCAGGGGTGGCTGCTGGTAGATTGAGCTGAGTTGTTGCACACTGGAGGAACAGTTCTCTTCAGCTAACATCATCTGGTTTCGAAGCAGCATTGGTTTCCTCTGGTAGATATGGCTGCAGGAAGGTTGGAGCTGCTTACTCCCACTTCCTCCCTAGACAGACAGTCTGTCTGAGGGCTCTGTGCCAGAGTTTGTGCTGGCACACGGACTCAGTCCCTTGTCTGTAGGGTTTTGTTACTAATGCGTTTATAAGACTGATGCCATTAGTACTTACATTGCTGTCATTCGTGTTACAGAAGCTGTATTTGTCTGCTTCTACACTAAAAAGCAAAACGAGAAAGGGATTTCTTTTCTATGTCATGTAATGAGAAGTGGAAACCAACACTTAAAACCTTTTTCCCTGACATTCTGTCCTACTGCACTACGTTGCTTTCCCCGCAGAGACTGACACAAAGAGAGAACTTGGAGCAACCTGTGTTTCTCCTTGTCTCGCAAACTGACCAGCTTCCCCTTTCAGATGTGAGGTAGTACATGTATACATGCTGCAAAACCAAGCAGTTAGGTAATCCTCAGCTCTGGAATTCGTCTGACAAAGGGGTAAAGCAGTGAGACATGTTCCTTTTGTAATCTGTTTAAGTAAACGAAATTTAATCTCTTCTTGGCCAGTTTTAAAGATCGAGTCATGAAAGCCTGGAATAGTCCAGTTGTATACATTTCCCTTGGAAAGTATCTGCTTCAGCTTTTCTCATTGTTAAGCAGATCTGAGACTTCCATTAGAGCACATTTATTCCTAGCTTTAGTTATTATTTTTCAAACATGCTCTGTTTGTATGCATAAAGTCTTACTATCTCAGCTCTCAAAGATTATCTGAGGACAGGACAGCAAACGCCTACTTGAAACCAGGCAGAGTATTTTCCTGATGTCAGTGTAGGGGCAGGAAACTCATCTGTGGAAAACAACTTACGAAATTAGTTGTGGCCATTTTCTTTTTGTAAGATTATTCATGATTTTATTTATTTACTTATTTTCCTTGGTAGTTGATCGTTTAAAAGCAGCTTCATTATTCAGCGCACATTACAGGTAAGCGTGTTTTGGATTAGGGAAGCTTTCATTCACTCTACCTTTTCTGTGATGATTGCTATCTGCACTAATTCTACTGTACAGTTTATTTTCTTTAACATGAACTAGCAGTGTGCCCAGGTGGCGAAGAAGGCCAATGGCAACTTTACTTGTACAGAAATGTTATTGTCAGCAGGACTAGGGAAATGATTGTCCCCTTGTATAAAGGCACTGGTCAAACCACACTTTGAACATTGTGTTCAGTTTGATGCCTCACTGCAAGAACAGTTACCGAGTAGTTTGAGTGTGTCCAGAGATGAACAAGAAAGCTGGTGAGGGACTGGAAAACAAGAGTTATGAGGAGCAACCAATGGAACTGGAGCTGTTTAGTCCAGAGCAGCAGAGGCTGAGGGGAAACTTCATTGCTCTCTGCAACAGAGGTGATTGTCCCCCTCTGTTCTTCTCTCATGAGGCCCCAGCTGGATTACTGTGTCAAAGTCTGGGGCCCTCAACAAAGGAAAGATGAGGAGCTTTAGGAGAGGGTGCAGAGCGGGACTGGGAAGATGATCCAAGGGCTGGAGCACCTCTCCTGTGAAGACAGGCTGAGGGAACTGGGCTTGTTCAGACTGGAAAAGAGAAGGATCCAGGGAGACCTTATTGCAGCTTTCCAGTATTTAAGCTTTCCAGTATTTAAAGAGAGTCTATAAACATGAGGGAAGACAACTTTTTACACTGGTAGATGGTGATAGGAAAAGGGGGAATGGTTCTAAACTAAAGGAATGGATATTTAGATTAGATGTCAGGGGAAGTTTTATACTCAGAGAGTGGTCAGGTGCTGGAACAGGTTGCCCAGAGAAGTTGTGGATGCCCTGTCCTTGGAGAAGTTTAAAGTCAGATTGGATGGGCTTTGGGCAATTTGATCTAGTACCTGATCTAGAGGATGTCTGCCTTGTCTGTGCCAGGGGGCTTGGAACTTGATGATCCTTGAGGTCTCTTCCAACCAAATTAATTCTATGATTCTATGAATTTCTGCAAATGAGGTTGCAGTGAAGAGATTGTCCATCTTTTTTCTCAGGTTACAAGTGATAGGATGCAAGGAAATGACCTCAAGTTGTTCCAGGTGAGCCTAATTTGTCATGTCAGGGATAATTTATTAATGGGAGAGGCAATTAGGCATTGGAACGGGCTGCCCAGGAAAGTGGTCTCTGGAGGTATTTAAAAAATGTGTAGACCTGGTGCTTTAACAGTAGACTTGTAGAGTAAAGTGGATGGTCAGATTTGATGATCTTGAAGGTCTTTTCCAATTGAAATAATTGTATGATTCTACAATCCTACAAAGCAAGTAGAAAGTGAGAAAAATGTTTGTGAGATGGTCTTGATTACCTCATCAGGACTCGGATTATTTTTAGGGAAGGGCAATAACAACTGGTGCAGTCAAAAGCTAGCATTGTATATACTGGGAGTATTGCCATTGCATTCTTTGCCTCTTTGGGTGAAATCTTACTTCTCCAAGAAGCGATAAGTTTTGTATTTTCTTCTTCTGCCACTGCCATACAAAGCAAGAATGTAAGACATACTTGTGTAGTGATCCAACTACAAATATCTCAGAAGAGCTTTAACTGTTTCCTCCTAGTCCTGCAGGCAAAAGAGTTTTCAGATAGCTCGGCTTGCCACTCTGGTCTCAGTGTTCTCCATTGTTGGTTCAGTGGAGGACCTGAGAGGAGAGCACGAGACTTGTTTCCACTTCACTGCCACCTTAAATGATTGAATTGTCTATGAAGCGGCAGTTTTATTTAATTAGGGCTTTGGACAGGGAGCCAGGCAATTAAAATTGTTATATTTGCTTTCAAAATTTCCATGCAAGCAGGTGCAGACTGCTTTCATACAGTTCAGCCTCCATGGCTCCTTGACCTGGGAGTGCAGAAGAATGAAATGCAGAGGGCAGAACTCCTTTTCTCACACACAGCCTTGTGCAAACATCGTAGCTCGACTGCTTCCAGATTCAGAGTGGCACAAGTGTTGTGCTCTGTAGCATTTTCAATTACTCTCCACTGCTAGGTGCTCTGCACAAAAAAAAAGATTTTGTTTTTTCCCCACATCGAAGAAGGAAAGAGTTTCTCAGAGCTGCTTACAGAGGGAGGCCGTGCCCAGACGTAAGCACTGAGGCTGTCCTTTCAGAGGAATAACGTACTTTCTGTTCTCACTTTTTCCCCTGTTCTTAAGACCACTGAGTATTATGATAACCCACTTGGAAAGGGCTGGAATAAGTGCTTGGGAGGGAGATAAATACCAGCTCAAACTTCGCTTTTTATTTTCTGTACAGTTTTTAAACAGATGGAGGCTAAAAATCTAGCAAATCAAATATTTCTACCACCGGTGGTCCTAAATTGCATGCAGAGCACTGTGGGCTGGTGGCCAGAACAATAACGAAGCTGCCCTGAAAGTATTTATCTTAGGCAATACTTTTTACTTCTCATTGCTATCTGAAAATTTCAGTGTGAATTAAACATCACAGGTAAGGCTATCTCTCTTTTCCAGCTGCAGAAATCGAAAACCAGAAAGGTTACAAATAGAATTTGTGTTTGGAGTACCATCCAAGCCCTGGGACTCACAGAAGACAAGAGGGCTATTCACAAAGCATGGCACTGCATAAAGTGTATCTGGCCTTGTGACTTACCTGTGAACATGGGGTTAGTCTGGAAAGAGATGTCATGTCTCTTAATTCATGGTTATTACTTCAGTTACACTGCTGTTTTTTTCCTGTTAGAAGAAATATGATTGAAGAATCAGGCAGTGGTAGTATTGAAGAGCTTGCCAGTGCAGATAAACACTCAGAAGAAATACTTGAGCTTGTGGTTTGATCACACAAAGGATTTTTAGTACCATCAAGGCATGGTCCAAAATACATGCAAGATATAATGACTGTTTTCACAATTGCAACTACCTGCAGTTTCATGTATCTTTGATCTTCTTTTCCTCAGAAGGGTTTAAAAAAAGAAGTGTTGAGGTTCCCTATATTGTCAAATGACCATGGTTATTTACATAGCTAAATGGGGGGTCTGTAAAGTGTACTGTGCCATTTAAAATTAACTTAGTGAATATCTGTTAAGGAAAGCTGCATTAGAGAAAGGGCATGAATTTTAAACCCATTCGTAGATTAATGGAGGCAAAGTACTGCATGGATGTTCTGATTTCACTTAATTACCAAGTCTTGTTAGACTGAGTCAAACAGGAGTCAACTTAACTGATGCAAATGTAAAATGTCACATTTTCATCACAAGGTTTATATCCATAGCTTTCTGCAGAGACCGTATCGTGCTGATATGTGTAATAACTTATGCTTCCTTAGTGATTCCTCTTTACGTAGGTAAGTCCATGTTAAAATAACACACAATCTGTTGCACAGAAGCTCCACCATCTATAAGAAAAGGCAAAAAACCATTGGGATAGAATTTCTTCAGAAGAATATGTAACATAGCAAGATTTGAAGGACAAGTTTGGCAAACCCCACAAGAACGTGTTTGAAAAGCCAAGTCCTTTTATCATTTGCCTTAAGAATTCTGGATCTCCTGTCACTGAGAGAGATTGGCCACTGTGTCACTGAGGAAATCAGAAGAGGAATTCCTATCCTCAAAGCTCCAAATTCCCTTCAAGTTTTTATCTGTATCATCCCCACGCTGGACTTTAGATTTGGACTTTAGATTTATCTCTGCTAGTTCAGAGTTCAAACCAATCATAAAACTTTGCCATGTGACTGTGCTTTCCAAAAGCATTCAACTTTGCATTGTTGAGCAAAATGCCATAGAGTAGAAAAAAAGAAACAAACAGCTCGTATCAACAGCAAGAGAGGAAATAGAAGGTATGACAGGAATTCAAACACTTGTTAGAACAGCTTCAAAATTTCAGGAATTCGGATGAGGCCTTGAGAGCGGTCCAAACTCATATACTCTTGTGGTGTCAAAAAAGTGAAATTTCATAAAAATCAAGACTTGAGTCAGATCCTGAGTTTCATCAGAGTGTGGCAGAACTGGAGAACAGAAAATAACTCTTTCTTCTCCGTTACAGCTAAATAGATGGTTTTATTAATTATAGTTGATAGTTAAAGAGAGGACATTCTGCCATTCAGAACTGAATATGAAGTCCACTGAGATCAGTTAGGTATTTCCATTTACTTCAGTGGATGCTGAATGAATTGAGGAAGAACCCGCGTAAGAAGTGAGGTGGTACTGCGAAGTGCAGACTTGGGGTGTGCATAGCACAGCTGCCCTGGGGGGAAACTAGGAGTTCTGAGGAAATGTCCTGCTTTATGATGCTGATGTGTCATCTCCTGTCTGCTTACCAGTGCGCTGACTAAGGAGCAAGCAATGCAAGGAGAGATGGAACTTGATGTAAGGGTGGGCGCTGCAGATGATAAATGTGTACATACAGATATTGGTGTATATATACAGATCTTTAAATGTGGAGGTTTCAGCTACAGGCATTTCATCAAAATTTACATTATTTGAAGCCGACTTCTCCTGAATCAGAAAAGAAATGCAAATGTTTTGCAAATTAGATGTGTTAATAATTAGGATTGTATGAACAAGCTATGTATAAAAGTCTATACTCTGTCTGGAGAGTGACATGCTTGTGGGAGGGTTAAATAAAAAGTAGTTTAATGAAGGAACTAATTTCTCTACCAAACTACCAGGAAGTTCAAAACAAAGAATTTAAAAACAGGGTATTTTTAAACAAATAGCTTGACAACATTGTGCCCTTGCCTAAGCATAAGAGAAATCTGACTTGACTACCATGCATCAATTTGTTGACATAATTCTTCTCTTGGTTTTGCTATATTACTTAAAAAATAATGGGTGTAGAGGGTGGATGAGAAAGGAGCTATTGTAAAAGAGGCAAGGCTTGCAAAATGTAAGCTTTTTGCATTTTAGCCAAACAAGCTTTTTGAACATGGCACTAAGGATAACAAAGGAGAAAGGATTGTTCTTCATTCTTACTTTATTAAATTCTGAGGGAACAGTGACATCAGTTTCATCCCAGTTTTGAAGGACAGTAGCATCCTCTAGCCTGTTTCAAATGTTTTCCGAAGAAAATTTGTACAGCTAATTGCCAGTTTTCAACCAGCTTAAAAAGGGAAATGCAAATGACAACTTAGTTTTCAGTAGGAAACCTGGTTATATTCCTAATCTAAGAAAAGAGTTCTTTGAAAGTGTGAACACGAAGTAAATGAGACCTTTAATATAAGGGCCTGACTTAGAACGCTGTGGATGTGCGCGTCCTGGGCCGGAGGTGCCGAGATCTTTGGTAACACCGAGCTCCATCTACTGGCGTGCGGGAGAAGTCGAGAGACTTGCGTGTACCACCTCCTCCCTTTTGACAAAAATACCTTCTTCGGCCTTGGAAACCAGCGCTGAACGAGTTTTGGTGCCTTAGATCTATTCGAGGGCTGTTCTCGTGCTGGGAAGAATTGCAATATTTAGCCTATGATATCACCTTAGTTCCTCTACTCCATCGCTGTAAAGGCATCTCCATCTATCATCGAGATCAGGGGCTGAGATCACCTTTCAGCCTTGTAAGAGCTGAGATTACCAGGCCAAGTATCTCCAAATGAGCCAGTCCTCAAAGCACAGCTAACTGCAGCTGCCAGCTGAGTACTAACTGTTGTACAGACAGTGATGGTCTTGGAGGGGGGCAAGTATGCAAAAATCTATTTGCTAACATCTGAGGTATTCATTTGCTATCTGCACTTGGTAAGGTCTTGCCAGTGACTTGAATCAGAGGCTAAAAAAGAACCCTCTTTGAAGTGGAAATGAGTGCCTGGATATCCAAAGGATGCTGGGGTTATCCATTCAGTAAAAGTAGGTTGTCTTGAACAGATCTTTGACTGCACTGCCAATCGATCTGCACAGCTAACTCAAGTTAGGAATTTTTTCTTTAAGGTAACTGAAATATACTGTTTGGATTTTGACTTTTTACTGTTAGGGAAAACTGATTTTGTGATGCAAACAATTAAGTATTTGTTTCAAAATGTGACAGTACAGGACGCTCAGTGTTGTTCATTTCTTCAAGGAGATGTGACTTAAGAAACTGTTCCATTTTGAACATTACCTTTTCAAATGGAAAATGATGCAGCCAAGGGCTTTCCAATCAAGTTTATAATTATTTCTTCAACTTCTTTAAAAATAAAATAGTTAAAATTAAAAGTTAAAATGGAAATTCTGAACAGTGTACATAGATGTAGCCTAGTCTTTTAGAAGGCAGAGAAACTACACTTTTCCACATGTAAAACTGATCTCCTTCATCCAAAGCCATGTTTTACAATTAAGTTTTTGTTTGTTTTTTCTTTTTTTTTTTTTTTCTAACCATTCTTCACATTCACACAGCTCAAAGAACTCAAATCACACAGCTACAAAGAAGGAAATGTGGAACTGAAGTTATGCTGGGAGGGAGGTGAAGTCTTCTGAAATAAGGACTAGTCAATGCATAGGTTTTCAGTTCTTTGTGGACATTTTCATCACTGTGTTCGTATTTGTAAAGGCAGATCTGAGCCTTAAAGACCTAATTATCACAAGTGACCAAGTCATCTTCATGAGCTTGGAGCATGGTCAGGTACCTTAGGAGTTTACTAATAAGCTGTAAGCATTGCCACTCTTCTCAAGCCTTGGGAAAGCAGGTGGCATCTGAGCTCAACACAGATATTGCTGGTTATTTCTCTCCTAATTCTCTCGTCAATGTTTTTCTACGGAAAACTGTGCCTGGGACTTTTTCCTCCAGCTGTAAATCCTCCCCTAATTCCAAATCTAATTGCATTAAAGGCCTGTTTATATCTGTCTTTTTTTTTTTCCTTCCCTTTTTTCCCCCTGACTGATATGAATCACTTCCCTTTGCAGGTGGTTACTCCTGTGGGGTGTTGATAGGTTCCAGTTACACACACAGTTTGGCAGACTTCTTTCAGGCCTGCCAAGCCTATTGGCCAGCTCCCTTAGCCCTCCCTCCCCATGCAACTTCCTCTCATCTTTCCCAGTGTTGTCTTCTGTGTCTGTCCTGACCAATTTACAGACAGAGGTCTGGGGACTCTGACTGACAGCAAGTCGAATGTGAGCCAGCAGTGTGCCCTGGCAGCCCAAAGGCCAACAGTGCCCTGGGATGCACCAAGCCCAGCACTGCCACTGGCTGAGGGGAGGGGTTTCCCTTCTGCTCTGTGCTGTGTGGCCTCACCTTGTGCACTGTGGGCAGTCTGGGTGGCACAGATAAAAAGAACATAGAACTTTTACAGAATGTCCATAGAAGGGCTACAGAAATGGGGAAAGCTCCGGAGCGCAAGACATGCAGGGAGCAGCTGAGTTCCTTTGGTCTGTTAGCCCAGAGCAGGGGAGCTGAGGGAAGGCCTGATGGCAGCTGCAGCTCTTTACAAGGAGAGCAGAGGGTCAGCGCTGAGCTCTGCTCTATGTGGCAGTGACAGGACCTGAGGGAACGGCATGGGGCTGTGTGAGGGGAGGGTCAGGAGGGGGTTAGGAAAATGCTCTTCACCAGAGGGTGGTCAGGCCCTGCAACAAGCTCCCCAGGGCAGTGATCACAGCTCTAAGCTGCTGGAGTTCAAAGAGAGTTCGGGCAGTGCTCAGACATACTTTGATTTTTGTGTTGTTCCTTGTGGAGGGAGGAGTTGGACTTGGTGATCCTTGTGGGCCTCTTCCAACTTGGGATATTCTGTGATTGTAGGTGATTGTATGCCTCCTTCCCTTCAACAAAAGGTACCGCAGCAGTGTGAAGCACGCCAGATTAGGGCTCACCAGGCCCTTAGAGAAGTGCTACTTCTCTTTTTTAATCTTTAGAACTTAAAGGAACTACCTGATGTGGTTAAACACTAAGATCATGTTCCTATCCTTTTTTCTTTTTTCTTTTTTTTCCTGCTTTATTTACCAGTGCAGCTCTGCCCCTTGTGATTTCTTGTCCTCAAGACCTTCCCATCCATCACTGCCTTGTGATGCTGCCAAAGGCACAGACCTTATTCTCTCACTGGGTCACAGGTTCAGCAGCAATCTAAGCTGTGCTGCATCATCCCCACTGGGATTCTCATTCAGCATCCCTTCACGTCCATGTCTTTGCCCTGTATGTTGCTGTCTCCAGAGCTCATCATAGTCCCTACAGTAGCACACGGAGTTAATACTATCAGGTCTTCCTTGGCAACCTCTCCCAGGTGAGGGTGCTTTGTGAGAACAAAGCGCTGGCCCCAAGTCCCTGCCTGTATGATGTTACAGCTTGTAGGAGTGAATTTTGGCTATTTCTGCTGCTTCATTCAAAATACTCAGTTCCTGCTGCATTGCCCGCCCCAGACTGTGCTACCATTAAATGTCATTGTCATGTTCCACCCTTTTTTTGCTTGTGTCAATAGCTGAACAGTAGAATGCTCTTCCTCAGTTATCCTCAGTCAGATCAATATTCATACAACAAAAAGCACTTTTCGAATGTGTATGAGATTACCTCCCCAGTGACTGGGAAAGAGAACAGGGCATATCAGGGAGAATCCAAGGAGAACATTTTTGAAAGCCGAATGGAGGTAGCATAGCCAAAAGTGCTGAGGAAATGATTTGTTGAGTTACTTGGAGGAGCATTGGAGAGAGACATAAAAAGCCCAGGATAAAGGGTGCTGCAAGAGCTGAAAAGCAGATCAGAGCAGTAAGGCTGAGGAGACCACAGGCAGCACTGGGCACCATGCTGAGGGCAGGTTGTGGATTGTGGCAGATGGGGCAGGACTGAACGAGCCACAGGTCTTAGCAGTATCTGTGTAGGACCCTGTGCAGGGAGGGAAAGGGTTGCTGAACCTAAGAAGAAACATAGGAACAGAGGTAGATGTCAAAAAGCAAGAATGATGTGACTGAGGACTACACTGAGTAATCTAGAAGAATTACGGCCCAATACGAGATGAGTATCTGCCATACAATCAATTCTGCATTGTGAGCAGAGCTTCTCCAAGCATGTCAGCAGTGTTTGATCAAAAAGCAGTCAACTAATTGAGATTACGATGTTGTACACCCGAGGTTTGACAAATGTTTTTATGGAATCTTCGATGGTTTCAGCAGAACGAGGGTTTGGAGGGAACTCTGGGAGGGAAGCTGCTTTGTTCTCAAAGCTGAGAATGCAAAAGTAAAAAGGAATTAAGCAGAATAACTGTTACCAGCCACTTAATCGCATGTCTTACAGTCGAGCATAAAAGATAAGCTATTTTGCCACAGAGCCCTATTTAAAGCACGGGATAGCTCTGCTCTACGAATGAATCACCCACTGCTGTGCAGTGCAGGAGGCTGGTGTGTGTGGGACCCCTGCCTCAAGCTCACAACCGCAGCAATGAGTTTTCAGGCAGAGGGAGGTAAGACCATCCCTCCACCTCGCAATGGGGCCCTGGCAGGGCGGCTGGGCGCTGCAGTGATGCCTTGCTTCAGCAGCCAGACCGAAGCCCTTTGAGGAGCCATTCATTGCGTGCTTTCGGTGCCAGGTACCTGCTGGCAGAGGTGCCGAGCATTGTCAGCAGCAAACAAAAGCCTTTGGGAGCGATCCCCTGAACTGAACGCCACACAACAGCGTATGTGAAAAATCAGGTCACTGGCATCCAGCAGGGTGTTGATTTATACGTCGAGGCTTCATCTACGAACTGCAGGCGGTACCGCCAATTACTCCGCTTCTGTACATCAGAGGATGCTGACGGCCAGCGCTGCACTACTCACTAAAGACTGGAAATGCGCAGCAGCTATGGCACATTTAAGAATAGAAGGGGGGTGGGGGGGGGGGGGGTTGCAACACCACCGCCGTTCCCCCGTGCGCGGGCAGGTGAGGGGGCGCCTCAGCGTAACGGCGCCCGCAACCCACGCCGCGCGTGCAGAGGCGGGGGCGGCGCGGCGAGCGCGCGGGGCCGAGCGCGGCCAATCAGGGGCGGGCGGGCGGCTCGCGCGCGACCTAACGGTCACCGGGACCCTGCCCCTTCCCCGATCCGCTCCCCGCGGCCGGCATTGCGCCTGCGCCGCGCCGCCGGCGTCCATCCCCTCCGCAGGTGATGCCGCCGCCCGCGGGGACGGGGCCGTTACCGGGGGAAACGGCGGCGATGGGGCCGGTCCGCGCCTCGCTCCGCCCCTGAGAGCCGAGGGGAAGAGGCAGCGCGGCCGGTCCCACCGCCCGGCTCCCTCCGGCCGCCATCTCTCCCCGTCGCCCCGTTCTCGATGTCTCCCCCGCGGCGCGGAGGCTCCTTCGTTGCCTCTCCGCCCCGCGGCTCCCCACCGCCGGCTCTAGCGCCCCCTGGCTGAGGGGCGGCCCGCCCTGCGCCACCATGAAGGTGGAAGCGGGGGACAACTCCATGATCAACCTGTCGGTGCAGCAAGTGCTCAGCCTGTGGGCTCACGGCACCGTCCTGAGGAACCTCACCGGTGAGCGGGGCGGGCGCCGGGGTGCGGGGAGGAGAGGGGAGGACGGATGCCTTCCTCGCCTGCTTTCCTCGCTCGCCTGCTCTTCCCGGTGTGTGGGTGGGGCTGGCGGTCCGCGTGTGTGGAGCTGAGCTCTGAGCTGAGCTCTGGAGCTGAACGGGGTCGCCGACGTGTTTTCCGTTGTGGGTTTACGATAAGAAGCTGAAGGGGTGCGTATGTGCCGTGGGGAGCTTGGAACTTGATGATCCTTGAGGTCCCTTCCAACCCAAGCCGTTGTGTGATGCCGTGGGCACCGGCGTGTGAGTAAAGGGCCGTGTAAAGCGTGTGAACGTATAAATATGTTCGAGTGGGTGGTAGCAGAAATACCCGTAAGAAAGAGGTGCTTTTTATGTGTTTGTCTTCTCTTTTTTTCCTACCCTACCCCTGAACAATAAGAGAGGTGCGAGCAAATGGAGCGGCAGATGTTTCCTGGCCAGTAGGCATAGTTCTAAGCATCAAGGATTCTTAAAGACAAAGCCTTTGTGTCACACGAAAGCTCTGAGAGGTTCGGGCGAGGCAGATCCCTGCTGCAAGGGAACCCTGGCTAGCTTTGGCGACAACTGGCTTATTTCCTCTGCCTCTCGCTGAAAAAAAGGTTCTGACCTAAGGACTGCTATGAGACAAGCCCATAGGCATGCAGTGGAGAGGTGTGTCTTGTGGCTCCCTGTTCTATCCAGGCTTGACACAAATCACAAACTTCCAGCTCTGGGCTGGAAGGGGTTTCATATCTGTAGCAAAGGTGTTGCTGAGTACGTTCTCTCTATTGTTATAAGGGTATAATAGTTGGTGACAGATTAATGGTAAGCCTTGAATTAAGGGCATATGTTTTGAATATTTATAAAAGAGCATATTAGGTCACCTATTTCCTTCTGTCTGTACGAGCAATATGTGGAAACATCTGTGAAATATGGGAAACGTGTGATGGAGTTATTAGGTGTGGCTGAAGTTTGATGACGTGGTGAACTGGATGATTGTTTTAACCTTTATGATTGTTCCTTTCTACTTCATGCTTTTTCAGTTTAATGAGTTATTCATTTGAAACGTGATCCATAAAATAGTTAAAACACGTCTGAATTTCAGAGGTTTAGAAAGGTGTATGAATACAGCTCATTCTCTGTGTAGGTTTTTGGGGTTTTTTTGCATGCATTCTATAAATTACAAGTTGTGCTCTTGAAGGGAAGAGTTAACAATGGCTTTAACTTCTCTTTGTGTTAGACATCCTCTAAAGTTTTCCTAATTAGAACGTTACACAACAGAGGGATTTCTATGAAACCCAGTGCTGAGTATTGGGCAAGAAAAACTGCTTGGTGCTTTTGCAGTGTGACAAGAGGTTGCACAACGCGTTTTCAATGTGGGATGGTTGCTCTTTTTAGCTTAA